GCCTTCCGTTGTAATCCTGAAAACAACGCACCGACGACTAGCTTTCAACATAAACTATTCCGAGAAGATTTTACATACATTACATAATTTTTGTATGTTTACATAAATAACATCCAAAGTTCAATTTTTTGGATTTATAACATTTTATCTATGCATGAAAATATAAAAAATTAGTAATAGTAGTATTTTGGAAGTGGTATGAAGATCTTATAAACGTAAGAAATCAAAGTTCAGGTGTTAGATATGTAAATACAAAATAATTGAGTGGTGTGTATGTAAATTTCATCAATATACACAGTTCATTGTCTCCTAAACCATCTTCATAACAGGAAATGGAAATCCAGACAAATTAACTCAATAAATTCTAAAAGAAAATGGAAGAAATTAGTATGAAATTTACAAACAAGCCACACAATTCTTTTGTATCTACATATGTACCACCCAAAATTTGATATTTACACTTTCCTTAATTGGAGATACAAGTGTTCCATCCTTCCTTTTATGTTATTTCTTTTTTTTTTGTCTTTACTATTCTAGGATTCATGTTAGGTATTTATATCCCCTTTTCATATATATATATATATATATATATACATGTGTGCGCGCGCGCGCATGTGTAGAAACACACTAAACAAGCATGCTTCTAAAAACAAACAGAAAACAAAAACAATAAGCAATATACAAAATTAATTCCAAACAAGCCATGAGATTGAAGTTCTACAATTCAAGTCGGTTTGTCATTAGGGCTGTCAAGACGGCTCGTTGTTCGCGAACAGCTCGTGTTCGGCTCGTTCGCTAAGTTAACGAGTCGAACACGAACAACACGAACAATATTTGTTCGTTCGTGTTCGGCTCGTTTTGGCTCGAAATACTGCTAATCAATTATATATATATATCTTTGATAAGTAGTATTTTTAAAAAAAATAATTGACTACAAGGCTACAAAGATTTATAATCAATTAAAAGTATTAATGAAGAAAATAGAATAAAAATTATTAATTTAGATTCAAATGATGTTTTAAATCTTGCCTCAATCATTAACATAAACGAGCCGAACACAAACACACTTTTTGAGCTCGAAATATAAACGAGCCGAACTTAGCTCGTGTTCGGCTCGTTTACACCCCTATTTGTCATAATGAGACATTATGCAAGTAGAATCATCTAAATCCAAAAAAATTACCATAAAATTTAGAATAATGCGGCAAAACATAAGTTTATGGTTGATTGATTTGATCAAAAACTATATCAAAGTATGTTGCTTGGTCATAATTTACCATGCAGCATAAGTAATTAAATTTTAAAAAACAGTATTTATTTCTAGGGACATTTCAAACATACCACCCAATTCAACGTATTTACATGTCTAACCCTTAAAGTTCAATTTTTACATTCCTAACACCTTAACTATGCCTGAAAAGTTGTATTTCACCTTTTAAAAGTTAAAACGTTGGTATTTTTTACGTGATATGAAAGATTTGAATGATATAATTGGACAAAATACAGGTGTAAGACATGTGTATACATAGGAATTTGGTGGTATGTACGTAAATGCCCCGAAAGATAACCACTCACATGAAACAATCCAGAGATTAACATTTGCATAACAACCAAGTGAAAACAAGAACTACAAATTCTTAGCACATAAAGAACATCATATGAAATTTGACTGCATTGGACACAAAAGTAATTTGCACAAATTCGAAGGCTTACATAGCGATGGAACATTTCCACAGCTTTCTCAGCTTCTTCAACACTGCTCATGTTGACAAACCCAAAGCCGCGACTCTGCCCGGACTCCCTGTTGTAAATTACCTAACAATGCAATAAAGATAATGTGAATCTTTTACAGTGTAATTTACAAAAATAACCAAATATATAGAACAGAAGGAAAGCAGGGATTAATTATCACAACATGAAGAGTAACACCCACCTCCAACCCCCACAGTAACCTTCAAACAGCAAAAGAAATGCAAAACGAACTTGAGAGTGGAAGTGAAAAAGCAGAAGAAAGATTTACATGCCTATCAGTTAATACCTATGTATTTACATATCCAATGCATAAACTTCAATTTTTACATATATGCCCCCTTACTTATGCATTAAAAGATGTATTTCACCTTTTAAAAGTTAAAATAGTGGTGCAATGTGGTGTGAATGATTTTAGAGGCATACATGTAAAAAATAAAGTTTAGGTGTTTGAGAATAGGGTCGAATTTTTCTTCCATTTTAAACTAGAACAACAACAACAATAACAAGCCTTTATCCCACTAAGTGGTGTCGGCTTCTTCCATTTTAAACTAAAATCATGATTTAGTAAATCTCAAGTGAAGTAAAATTTAAGTCATTCACACCACTTCCCCCTCATTACACCTTTTCTTCTCCTTCATTTATATCCTAAATCTTGAAAATATTTGAAAATTAGTTAATTACAATTTAACCAAATTGAACATCTAACATGCCAAAAAATTTTGAGGGATTTACAGACTTAACATTTAGAATTCACATACTTAACATTTAAACTTTGTTATTTACAACATATAGCTCTCGACTAATTCCGTTAACCGGTTCGCTGAACCCTCAACAAAAGAAGTTGATTAAGACAAAATGCTTGTCAGACACTCGCTCGACAAAACAGGGCCAACAGAATCAGGCACTCGTTGGATACCCATTGTAAGAGGCTGATTAGAATCAAGGATAAGAGTTATTTTACAGGGACATTTACATACATACCATAGAATTCTTATGCATTTACATATGTGATACCTAGATAATGATATTTACATGCACACCGCTCAAATGTCTAACATTACATCAAAAATACGACCATCACTGTCTTTTTAAAAGTAAAATACACCTTTTCACACATGGGTTTATGACACTAAAGTGTTGTAAGTTTAAAATATCAAACTTAGTGTGTTAGACACATAAATACATGAGAGTTTTGTGGTATTTATGTTAAATATGTGCCGGACGAAGATTAGGTATGAAAAATGTAAAACATAATGTTTACACACTGTGTATGTAAATACTTTTTTTTTATGATTCATCACCACCACAATTCACTAAATCCTACCAGTAGCCAGCCAAAAAGATCCTCAACATCTTCCATAACACCACCTTCTAAAACAGCAAGCATTATCCTCAAGCTGCATAGCCCAATACAAACCACAGCATCAACATCAATATATAGTAACATTTACATACATACCACTCAATTCCTATGTATTTACAAATCTAACACCCAAGCTTCAATTTTAACATATATGCCACATGAACTGTGCATGAAAAGCTGTATTTCAGATCAAAGAAAAAGAAAATTAACTCAAGTTAGCAAATTTACCTCAGCAACCTCAACGATCCCAGCCTTCTCGAACAAATGAGCTAGCTTCTCGCTATCCACATCATAAGGCAGATTCCCCACGAAGAGCTTAGCTTCCTCTGGAGGCTCGGGGAAAGAATCATCCCCTTCCTCCTCCAAATCCCCCTCATTAATTCCCTTATCGCCCCCAGCTATCACCGCATCCACACCCCCCCTCACCCCCCCCTTCCCCCCCCCCCATCCCCCCAACCCCTCCCCCCCCCCCC